AGAAACACTCATATATAAATGGGATGATACTGTCTGTGAGTGAGTTTCTTCCTGCAAGTTGGGCAGGAGTTGGCATTCCTAAGGGAATCACGGAGGCACTGACTGCAGAAGACATGGCCGCATTTGGTTGACACAATCAGTCGTCCACTTTGCACAATCTGGAAGAAAAGAAGCCACAAGAGATATTTGGAGTAAAAGATTTGACTTTGTTGGTCTGTTGGCACCAGGCAAACAGGACCTGGAGCACCTGGAATCAGGACTTGACTACTGTAATAATAAGGAAGGCAAAGATCTCTCAGTGCCACCTTGGGAAGGGTTTCTCCCTCTACATACACCACTGAGAAATGACTTTGAGCCACGGGCTAGTTTCACCTGAAATCCCCGTTCTCCCTCTGACAAAAAGAAAACGACGACAACATGAGGATCCTTACCTCCGAGTAGCCATCCATGCAGATCGGACAGCTAACGGTACCAGACGGCCTTGCGGGAGAGAGAACAAAACCAGAAAGAACATGTCCCCGTTAATTTCACCGTGCATTGTGGGTTACTGACACATAAAACCTCATGTAATCACGCCACTGCACAGACTAGCCCTGACGCATTTCATCTGAAGATCCCCATGTCCCTTTAGCTCTCTCAGTTTGTTGCATTTAATAAGGAGTCGGCATCTTCCTAACCTGAAGGAAATCACGCCTTGGTTTTCAGTAGGGGGAAGCTGCAGTTCATCACCCTGCTTTGTTACAAGTAACGGCAGTCTACAGCGCTGTGCGGTATACGCATGGTGGTATGAATCTTCAGCAGGCCCTAACTAAGAGTTTTGTAACAAAGGGCATCTGTCTGTCCTTTGAGAACTACTCATTCTAGAAGTGAAAGAGGTTGTCAGAAATGAAAACGTCCCCTATGCTAATTTAGCAACACCCCAGCCCAGTAACATATTCCTTCCAAGAACTCCTTCCTTATAAAATGTAGGGCAGGAACACACTAACGTAAGGAAAGACTAAAAAATCAATTTCTAGTTCAGAGAAGTAAAGATCAATTTGGTAGCTGTTACTAATCTGTGGTTATAGATGTACCTCGCCTGCTTTCAGCCTCCAGGAGAGCTGTATTGTACACATGCTTACTAACAGATAGAGCTATTCTGCATAAGGAACATGTCATACCGTAAGTGCTGAATGACATTCTCTCTCTTATCAGAAAGAGCTTCCTGTCACTTTTATTTAGAAATTAATCTTTATTTTAAATGATGAGTGTAAGCTGCTTTCCTAAGTCTTTACCATAAACATTTGACATTATTATGTCACCACCCATGCTAAGCAACCGTTTGTAGTTTATTTATTAAACAGGGAAAGAAAGCACGTGGTATCCTTTATCCCATAATCTTCAATTCAAGCAGCGTGCACTACTCATTTCTACCCCTAGTTTCATATACATAATCTAAGTCCATTAATTCTCCCATTTTTACTACTCAAATTATTTATGCAGTAGCTGTAACACCAACTCAGTAATTAATTACAATTCATGATAACCTTCATATAAGCTAGAGTAGTCTAACACTGCAGAGTAACACTGTAGACGGCTCTGTGGCAATCTTCAGCATCAGCACCTTTGTCAATGTTAAATGCTGCAGCACTGAGTTGTTTCACCCTTACCTAAACAGAGCAGGAAGGCACACTCTTTGACAGAGAAGCTTGAGACTGAAGGAACAAAACACTACTTTTTTATATTAACTAATTAGAGAGATATACTCACCTACATACTTAACAACCAAAATATAGAAATCTACAAATCCACTGCCAAATGCACTGTGTCTTAGAATAGTATAAGCCCTTTAGGTGGCTGGCTTAAGGCCTGACACCCAAAATTTCCATACCCAAGTTCTCTCCTACGTTGCCTTCCAGTAAACTAAAAGGCTCAAAGCCCACCAAGCTTTATTAAAACCTGTAATTTTTTTTCCCCCCCAAAACACTTTAACAAAATGTTTATACCACAATCCTCACGTTCTTCATCTTCCCTAGTCACATGGTCACCTGATTTCATTTAGTCTAATACACTGCATATTCCCTAACATAACGGAGTGCTCCTACAGCAGGAGTTTACTGTTTCTCCACAGAATGGGGTCTTTACCATGCAGGCACCTGGCCCGAACAGCAGGATCACCTGAGAGAAAAGGGCAGTTAACTAGCACAGTGTGTAAAAAAAGCAGTGAATGACTAATATTTTTACTGGAATTTGCCAGGCTGCTGCCTGCTGGTCTCATGATACCAAGCCCCAACACCACCAATGAAAGTATTTCCATATCTAACATCACTACTAGAGCTTTGCATGAAAAATAAATGCAATACATTACGAGCTATGGTCTGTGACTAATCCTCGTTCCTTGCCATACCCCCCCACTCATCTTTAAGGTTGTATGCAAAGTTGTACATCTGTCTTGGGTTGGCTTTTTATCCTGAAGTGCAACTGTATCATTTGGTCATCATGAGAAACGTATATGCTGTACTCATTGAAAGAGGGAACTAACTAGAAGAAGTTAAGACTTCAAAGATAAGCCAGGCTATAGCAATGCAACTTAGTCCTGTATGTATAAGAAAAGCAAAATCCATTGGTTGGTAGGTCATAGGCATACATACTTTGAACTTGCAGTTTCATCTTCCAGTGGTCCCAATTCTCGAGACACTTTATCTGTCACATACACATCATTATCTCTTGTTTCATCTTCGTCATCGCTACTCAGTACACAGCTGTCCGACTGTCGCTGGCTTCTTAGTCTGAGATTTCTCCTTTGTCGTTGATTCTCTGTAATTTAATTTTGGTAAGTTAGGTATAATCTCTCTCACTCTCTCTCCCTGGAACTATCCTTGAAATGCATTACTAGAAATAGTCTGTAACAGTTCATATTTCAAATGGACCATATTCAGCTGGGTTAAAAGTAATCTTAAACAAACTAGTTTCCTAAATATTAAGGCTGAACACTTCCAGACATTGGGAATACTCTGCTACATATTGACACAAAACATTTGCTCTATTCACCCTACAAACAGTTAAAACATGACCTTAAAGATTCTCAGAGTCGTAAGTTTCATATAGTTACACTACCTGTGAATCAATCTCCCCTGTAAAGCAAAGCTACCTCTCCCAATTCTTACTGACAGAGAATGCTACGATGCTATTTTGAGGAATTGCCACAATTGCTGTGTGATATGACAGAGGGAGAGAGGACTAAAGCTGAGTTTCCAAGTAGCATGGCTAGGTAGCACATACACAACAAAAGGGCCTGGTAAAACACAGAGTGCTTTGTTCATAATGTTTCAGAAGTGACAGAAGAGATACTTAAATCTAAAAATGTAACTTATGGAGCTGCTGTGGGTCCTCACTGCTGTATCCAGGTATGACGCCGAATTGTTCCACTATTTTTTTGTCTGTGTTAAACCAAGCCTCCCCACTTCAAAACAGTTTCTATAAAATGAGTCTTTTTAAGAACAGTACTTGGAAATTATAAAAATACTCTCAGCAGTGTTTCCTTAGAAATTTTCATCATCTTTCCCCTGAGCTAAGGCAACTTGAAAACGGAGTTATATTGCCCAAGATAAAAAAAAAATTTAATTGCCTGGTCTGTAACATCCAAAGGCTAAAGAACTGCAGTTTCCTTTTTAACAATTAGAAACTCCATGCAATAATTCTCTGCAACTCCAGTGTAACATGTTAACAATAATCAAGCACTAATCAATTAAAATTACATGAATAGCCACAAAATTAAAGTTCCTTCCTGCATAAATATTCAGTTACAACTTTTATTGCAAGTATTTTGTACTTCCTCTTGCTTCATTTAAAGCACAGAGTAGATTACATTCTAAGCAAGCAGCTAACAACATACTAATATATCTCAGATATTATAATCAGAACAAGGTCTGAAAGCTGTAAGGTATTACGTTCTTTATACCTATAACTATTGTAACACCTAAAGTAGAAAAAAAAAAATCTAAACTTGATAATACTTCTCAGTGCTAAATTTGAGGCGTGTTGGACCAGAGAATGAAAGCTAATGCTACAAGCACAAATAACTTCCTCCTTTAGTTTTTTCACTGCAATACAGGCTAAAAAAAACCCTTCTTGACATTTTCTTATTCAAAACAAGTATTCCAATGCTAATTCAAACGATTAAAACTTTGAGCTTACAGAATTTCTGTATTTGGAAAATAAGAAAACATCTTTTGAGCAGCTTTCATGTGTTTTATTTCCAATACTTTCTACAAGCTCTGATAGCGACTCTGAATCACAGAATGGGATCCGTTCTCTAAGACGCTGGCCAGATACTTTAGCACTGCCTTTCGGTAAATGCAGGTTCAATCCATGCTGCTCAAGTTCATTGGAAAAGATCAAACCATAAAAATTAAGTTTAGGAGAATTCCAGCATCAGTTGTAAAATGGCAACTCACCTTCAACAATCTTGCATCAGTACATATGGGAAGGGAGAGAAAAGAAAATACAGTTAGACTTTGGTGTGCACCCCTAGCGTTCCATACATCCACCAGATAAGCTAGGTTATAACAGCAATATAAGCTAAGAATGGTAAGGTATCCCTCTCATTTTGACTGAGAATGTTAAAAGTAGTAGTAAACAGCTGCTGCTCTGAAAACCCATGGTTGCTTCTGGTTCTGCTCACGCTGCTGGCAAGGGGTAGAAATGGAGGCAGCTTATGAACCGCCTGAACACACTCCTCCCTGCTCCCCAGTTTCAGTACCCGAATTTGATTTTGGCTGGAGGAGATTCCCTCCCTCTTTCTCCCCCAAACAGGCAACTTCAGGTGCGACACCCAGAAACACTTCATGTCAGATTAACAGCTGCTGAAGAAAAAAAACCCAGCACCCAAACCCGCTATTGTCTTTGGCAGAACTCAAGCTAGGGCAATGCAGATTATGTCACAAAGTTGGAAACTTTTCCTTTGCACAGGCTGAGAACAGTTCCAGCAGGAGATAACCCTATGCTACTCCTGTGGCTTGTTTCTGGCTTGCACGGCAGCAGCGGCACCCCAAAACTGAGGTTATAAACCACACTGTGGACTGCATCGAATACTACTGTAGCTTTACAAATAGCAGTTAAAAAAAAGAAGGAGATTTTTTTATAAGACTTCTTGGAGTAATAAACTGAACTAGTTTGTACTACGGTCAGCTACAGTTGCACTTGGCATCTCTGTGACAGGAGTACTGAGGTTGCAGCTAAACAGTTTGTATTTGTGAAGTCAAAATCAGGCTGTTACCTCCTTCACTTTTGATTTAAGTCATTGCCTATATCTTTGACGTATCTAGACTGGCTTCAGCTTTAAACTGTATCTCCTTATGTTACCCATATTACCCATGACTGGTACATATTCTCCTTAAGTTCTGGAGCAACAAGCTCTTTTAGCTCACCTTCTGACTATCTGCAAGGGCACCTCCACAGCAGCTTCTGTGTTGACCTACAACGCATGGCTTTCATGCATGGACAAGTCAACTTGGAACTTAAAACTTACCCTTAAAGCCAGATTCTATCAGGGAGCACAATTCAAACCTAAGTTGACTACAAGATTTAGGTACGCATGCCATTCACTACTTACCACAACAGAATCATTGTGAGTTAGATCAACAACTACAGGCTCAGAAGATTCACATGTGAGATCTACTACTTCTTCACCGGCTTTAAAAACACAATGATAGAATCAAGATCAGAGATTGCAGAGAAGTCAAATTGCCTGCCACTATGTAACAGGCTGAGCTTGATTCAACCTTGCCCTATACGTTCCTCTTCTCTTCAGGAACATACCCAACATTTCACTCAAGCTTTGCCCTCAAGAGTCTCCATACAGCATTACCACCACTGTCTTCTGAAAATTGCAATGCAAGAGGAACAGTGGCATACAACAGTTCTGTTGTAAGTCAACAGCTTGCGGGAGGTACACAGCAACAGATTATTCATCTAACACAGGAGAATGTTTATCGTGCAGACTAAGACATTGATCGTATAGGACATAATAATTTTACAGTACCATGCGGTAAATGTTCCTGCCTCATGTCTCTTGCAAACTTTCATAGTCAAATGCACAGCAAAAACTGAAAAAGCAATATAATTACCTGGAGACCAACAGTCACTTTTATTCTTTCCTAGGATTTCAGAAGGGAAGTTAAATATCTATTTAGAAAGTCAAGGAGATTTTTTAAATTCCGATACTTTCTGTAAAAAAGTACTGACCAAGTACTGCCTCTCCCTTAAGGGATGAGGCACAATAATGACAAACTTTTAATTATCTTCTTAAAGCTTGGGAGTTCCCAAACTTAGTTTGCCAGTAGCTGCAGTGGCAGCTGCAGTGACTCCCAGCTCATCAGACGAGACATTCAGATGTCTGAGCAGCACTTGAGTACCTTTCTTACACAACTTATCTATCACTAGTGGTGAATGTATGGCATCTCAGGAACAAATGAAAACAGTTGTCAGTAGGCTTGTTGTTTATGGATGCCATACGAGACCCTTTTTAAAAGAAGAGGTTTCCTTTCCTCCCCAGTAAAGGGCCTGGAAACCGGCAAAGATACGCGTTAAGTTGGACCCCAACCCTCCAGAAGCAGTTTATGTTCTTGGCGAGTTAAAAGAAAGCTTACCGCTTTCTTCAAGTTCTATTGGCTCTGCTTCTGAAGCCACTTCTGCAGTAGAAGCCATCAGCCTGTTTCGTTTCCGAGCTTGCCGAGAATTAACTGCTCCTCCACGGCGTTTTCTTTGAGTCTAAGAAAGAACAAAGCCGTAGCATCTTCTTTAGGAGTAACATTAATGAGGCCCTCATCTTTGCAACCTCAAAGACAGCACACAAGGATACACAAAGCGCTCTCCTGAAATGCTGTAATATGCCTTGAACGGTGGTATGGGCCATGCCTACCTGACCACATTGCATCAAGGCAAAGGCGTCACCCCAGATCTCTGACCAGTGGGGTCACAAAAGAAAAACCCATCGTGATGGTTTGCAAACAAGAAGATGAGTTCACAACTGTATCAGATGCTAGCTTCCCGCCAGCCTCTGGACTCAGTCTGACCTAGGGTTTTCGCTTCGCGTTGTAAGCATTTCTGAACTACCTCTAGCACCCAGAGAGATTCCAAACCTTAAGTTATCTGTGATACTTCACAGAACATGAAGTTACATGAACTGTTAATATGCTTATGTTCCAGTGTATTTACTACAAACTCTTAAAAGCATTACAACAGGTACCACAAAAATCGTGTTTTAAGTATCAAGTTTGCTCTGAGTAGTAAAATACTTACTGTGCTCATGGTGCCTCTTGATCTAAAACCACAGAAAAAATAAGAGGTACAAAGACCAAAAAAATTAATCTCAAGGAAGATACAACTATCAATTCCTTACAGTCGTTTAGGTAGCAGACTGTTAAAAAGTCCAGATTTCTCAGGGTCTGAGAACGATGTTCTTCCAAACCTATAAGAAAAGAAGGGAGATCACCGGTCTGTAACACTTGTTCCTTTAAATCCACCCCCTCAACAAGATTCCCAATCCTCAATCGCAGTTTCTGTCCAAAGCTGGAGGGGAAGTCCCAGAGTTTGGTATTGGAGCCTCAGACACCTGCAGCTGGGCCTCAAGCCTCCGTCATTCTTCCCCATTTCCTAAACACAACACCAGAACCAGCTACTGTGTTAGCAAACTAGAAAAATCCTAAGGAATCCCAATTAAGTTTAACTGAAAAGTAACTGATTCACTCTTGAGGCAATGTTTGTGTGTGGGCAGGAATGACTGTAAATCGTGTCATAAGCAGTCATCTTCAGAGAACAAAAAATTTCCAATAAACAGTTCTCTTCCCCAACCCATCTCCAGATTCCAACATGTGGGAGCTGAACAGCTTGAGAGGAATCTAAAGTGAGTGGAGCAGAGAAATTTCAGTTTAGAAATACTCGGGGATCTGCAAGAGAATAAGTTTGTACAGTAGCTCGTCTGTGGTATCTGTAAGTTTAAATGCCCCTACCCACCAGACAGCAAAGTGCTAAGTGGGAAGAGGTGAAAAGCATAAAGGCAGTTATGAGTAGCTGCCACGGTACTGAAGTTCACATCTTAAAGCTTGCTCATGGTACAGTTACCGTGTGTACAAGAATGAGGAGCTGGAGGGGCGATAGCAGAGGGACCAGGAAAAAACGAATTACATTAAACAACAACTGCAGAACTGTCTTCCACACGCTGTTATCCTGTTCTTGGATTAAGAACCGCTGAGACCATGCAGTGGGATGGAATGGCACTGGTAGTCAGTCATACCCTTGAGTGAAAGGAAGCCTGACTGACTTTTTTCCTCTTAAACTTTCTGTCTGTATTTCTTAAATCACTTACTTTAAGAGACCCATTAACACTGAATTGTGACATTATTAAAACAAAACATGCTTAAGAAAAATCCTTACACTAAATTTGGTACTTTTACTAAGCCCAAAGATATATTCATGCACAGTTTTAAGCAACACAATATGCCACTCATTGATTTTCTCCCATCTTTTTCATTTTAAAACTAGCACTTGATTGCAAAAGTTAAAATGAAAGTCAACATGCTTTTTTTTTTCCCCCTCCTTTTTTTCACTTGGGCCACTTGCTGTATGCCAGACTTAACACTCAGTGAGCCCACAAGCAAATTCTGGTCACAGCAGATGAAATTTTCAGAACTGTTAGACATAACTCCCTCTCCAAATATGAACCTAATCAGTTTTCATAGTTTTAAGACTTTTTTTAATGATATTTTTTAAACATCTAAACTTATATATAGTTTTTCAAGAGTTTTTCTCGCAGATGTGAGCAATAGCCTTATGTTCTCACCTGGGATGTTGAAGACTAAGGCTCAGAGTTTCCTATCAGACAAAGCTTCTTCAGTGTGGGACTCACCTACGCAACCATTTTCGTAAGATTCTGTGTCCAGGAAATGCGAGTTCTCTTTGCACACTGCACCCCACTGTTCTTAAGTTCTAGATATCATTTCACCTGTTAAGGAAGAAAGCTTTTCCGCCAGCCTTACCAACATTCTTGGGAAGATCTTATTTTATTCACATAACTGAATTTTTGGAATAGGGAACAAGAACTTTTAAAACAAGACAATGCCTAATTCTGCACTCATACAAAACCAACCAGACAGACTATTCTGTGAGCACATTTTCCAGGTGCTATAGGAGTTCCTCACTCCATATGATTATTATTCATAGGTTTGGAGCTTTTTGCAGACAAAAGGAAGAGGGAAACGAAGCAAGGAGGACACATAGCACAAGGGATGAGGGATAGGGACAACGGAGAGAATCATCCCTACACCTAGCACATTCGCTCTTTCAAACTAGTTGCTCAAAGACAAGCTACCATCTTCATCTAACAGCTACAACTGAAACAGAAAATAACAAGCAAAGCAGTTTTCCACACACAGCAGGAGGATGAACAAGACTGAGCAACTTAAGAGGTATATTAAGAAGTTATGCCATTAGAATCTTTCTAAGTTTATTTCATCAAGAAGGCAGAGACGTTTTCCTCGATTCTCCTCAGATATGGAACTGGACAAAATACTTGGACATTAAAAAGCTGGGAAACGTTAGTTGGTACACACATCTGAGGATTACAAAGAAATAAACTTTATATAAGCTTATTTTAAATGACAAGTTTTTAGAATTGTTTTTAAATAGAACCTTTTAGAGTAATCTGATACACTGATGTATCTGCACTGATGAACGACAGCAAAACCCAAGTCTGATGTATTCACTAGACAGCGTGATTCTGGACGCAAAACCACCAGAGGTTTCACAAGACCTGGTGCTTTTCGGACTTAACACCGAATACAACCCAGCGTAATGGGATGTTGACAAAGAATCTTTTGAAAGCGTTAAAAACATGGGGAAAGCAAGCACCTGGGATGACTCCAAATATAAAATGTTGTACAGATTCTCTTTGGCCACAAGCAGCTTAAGTGCCAAAGAGGAGCTATCACAGAAGAAAAAAAAAACCCCACCCAACCAAACACAAACCCAACCAAACACAAACCCAACCAAACACACTTAAATGTGAAAATCATGGTGAAAAGAAAACCAAAGTAATACACAATAGAAGTCCTGTCATGCTAAGACCACCTTACCCACATTAAATATTCACACACTTCTTTACCAAGAATACCAAGGAACAGACTATTTACAGGATTACTACGATATGTCTCAGACGATCTAACATCAGACCTCAAAGGCAACACAGGACAGAGCCACTTCTTGAACTAAGTAACAGAGAGCACCATTGTTTTTAGATGGTTTAATTTTCAGAATCTTACAACATTGGCAGTAGGCTTTCTTTATACTTAATACAGAGAGTACACATAAGTCACAAATGTTCTAGCTGCTAATGGCTCAAATCTTAACCTCTTCAGAAGCTTCTGAAGAAGGAAGTTGAGAATGAATACCTATCGGGAAGCTCATCACTGTAAAACCACCTTAAATCAAATCATCATAGGCGGGCTCATCAGTATCAACACGACCCAACTCAGGAGAGTCATGTTTATAAAGAAAATCAGGCTGCTGGAATTTACTACCACTATGGAAGGAGTCTCATGATCCAGTAACATTTTTGTCTTGTAAGAACAAACCTCTTCTGTGGGACTACAGATTTCCACGTTATTGTCTTACTCGGGAAACTTCACTGAAAGTTTACTGCCCAAACTGTAAGAATGGGTAGCAAAAATGAAACAAAGCTTACTTTCCTGCATACACACAGATTAAGTTAGTGCACAAGAACAGAGGCAAACAAAACAGTTCCAAGTTTTGTGCATTGAGACACATACTCAACAATGAGAATTCCTTAAAGATTTTCAAAACCTCAGACCCACTCAATTTAATAATGTAATATGTTAATGCAGGACTGGATAGCTCAAATTAAATTATAAGGTCTATATCCTCCTCCTCCTCCTCCAGCAGCCACTATGAAACCCAGCATCAAGACTCCCAATACCAGATAATTATTTGTATTATAAAGTTACTGCATCGACCTCTCCCCCCTCAACCCATAAGCATCAAATAACTCCAGCTGAAGCTGGTAGTGAGCTCATCTATTACACTTGGAGCAAGATGCATTCAGACATCAATCCAAAAATCTAGAATTAAGATTTTTTTTAAAAAAGTAAAAAAAGAATTTTTTTTAATTTGAAAACTTAGCAAGCCTCTTAACTTTTACAGACTTTTTATTGCATCACTGCTGGATGTACCAGAAAAAGCCACTCCCCGCCCCTCTCATACGCAGAGCTCTGCACATGCAGTTAATTGTTCTTGTCATTTAGCTCTCCCAAGGGCTTAAGTAGTGTTGTCCTCATAACAACAGAGTTCAAGGTTCATTCTATCTAACTCACTAGCATTTTAAGGACTATATTCACCACCCTTTCTCTGTACAGGTAGATACTTGAGAAAAATACAAGGTAAAGCCATTTAAATTAAGAACCTTTACACTAGGAGTAAAAGAATATTGATTCCTACATTCATCATTTAAGTCTCCTGTTAAATTTTTTCCCCTATAAAAAAGTTAACTGAGTTCAAGTTGAGCTAATTTAACATTTTTGAATTACAATTCCAAAAAAACGGATTTGCTAGACAACATAAACTGAAAACTTTTCGTACACCCCTCTGAAAACAAAGTCTTGGTCTCTCACATGCTTAGCGTGAATTTAGGTTAATTACCTTAAGCAAGAAACAGAGGTTTTTACCATGTCTCAGTAACACAAACAAGACTTTACTTCATAATCATCTTAAACATTACAAATACATTAAAGTAACTATTTGAAGAAAGAAATAATGTCAGTCTAAATGCTTGGTGTGTGCAAGGCACAGGTGACAAAACCAGCATACATTGTATTTGTCAAAACATTATATGCTATGCCTTTAAGACTGCTTCTCATTTCTACTCTTAAAACCTCTCTTCGCACTCCTAACAACAGGAAACACAGCATCAAAGATGTAGCAGGTATAAAAAAATTTCTGTGGTCATAAGACGCAAGTACCAATGACAAAGTGATAGTCTTAAATCTTTTTATCACAGGGAACAGTGATCTGCCATTTTACTCTTTCAAAACTTTCCTATTGTGTATTTCCAGTACCTTTAAAGACATTCTCATTTTTTCAGATGCACTACACCAACTTTTGTGAAAATAGAAGATAAATCTATTATGTTTTATCCAAATTAGGTCAAGCAGACCCATACTATAAAAGTTTGGCAAGAGGCATTATAAAATGAATAAAGATAAGATACAAACAGCCTACCATAGAGATATACTAGCCTGCCTGCTCCAAGCCGTCATCTGCATCTACAGTCAAGTAAGACACGTTTATGAGCAGCCTAACAACAAAAAAAAACACCAAACCAAAAAACCAAATCCAAAACAAAAAAAAGCTAACAAAACACCCACAGAACAAAACACACCAAAACTTCCTTGTTGGTCAGA